TATATATATATATATAAAACAAAACTGGATTTTGATTCAATAATGTATAATAATATCTATGTATTGTATTACTTTAATAAATGGCATTGTTTTTAACAATCTGTATCATGCATCTGTGAAAGCTCCCATTGATTCATAGAAACATTTTGAACTTTGACCTAAATTAGGGGTGTGGTTCTGCAATTTACCTCTCAACTCAATAATGCTAAATAACGAATTACTAAACTGAAGTAAAATACAATAAAAATAATAATTACTTTATATAAAAATAGACTGCATAGGCAAAACAAGACGAACGATACAGGTTCTGTGGTATCACTTACTCAATTTAATAATAGATCTACAACATATCTTCCTTATTTCTTTCTTGTCCATTTTATTACTTTGCTTAATCTGAAATCTACTTTTATATAAGCTTTACCACAAGAGAGCTTTGAACAGCTCATTTCAGATAACTACACAACCTGCTGTGTAGTAGGCTTTTCTCACTGTGATCTTCAAATCCATTAATGGTTTTATACCTGTCACAGAAAGCTGCTGGCATCTCTCCAGAGCATCAAAGGGTGGCGACTTCTGGCCTGTATACAAGATAAAAGACGAGAAAAAGAGAAAATATCTTAACATAATATATGACTGCATCTCACCCAGCAGTGCTGAATCCATTTGTGGCCACAAATCACGACAATGCATATACTCAATTGAATACACCTTTTAAAGAAAACAACATATACAGGTCGTAGAAAAATGTAAATGTTTCAGAAAAATAAATATGACATTTGTCAGAAGAAGGTGGCTTTAACAAAAAAAAAAGAAGAATGTCTTTACATGTATTCTGGAGTTAAAAGAGCCTATTTATTTCTGCAATGAAAAAAAAAAAATAAGCACATAGATATCATTGTTTGAGGAGATGTTTAACTCCTTCAACTTTCTTTTTTTTTTTTTCTTTAAAGCTGACCATAGACAGACAGATATTCCCAATGATTACAAGTTTCCTCAGTCACATTTTAAACAATGTGCGTCCTGCTTTTTTTTGCAGGGAAAAAGAAAAACACTCAATTGTACAGACTTTAAGTAAGCTTGAAACTCTTTGAAATCTGTGCTTTAGACTTCCACACCTAAAGCAGACCTTCTACAAAAAAAAAAAAAAAAAAAAAAAAAACACCCCCTTCCCCC